AACACGACGCACCGAGAAGATATAAAGCAAATTGGACACAAACTGATATGCATACAGGTTTCGATGGAAAATGCAAAATTTTACATTTTGGCTGCCAATAAATGAACGGTCGTCGCTACAGCGCATCTGATCTGCACAACTGGCAGGATATTTAAGAGGAGAAATTACGCTTCCAAGTCATAAATTCTTCACGACCTTCATTCCGTGTACTTTGATAGACAGTAACTATGCCTCGCATACAGGTGCGCGAAGGTTATGCGCAGATGTCAGAATTTGAGAGAGGTCGTGTAGTTGGACTCAAAGAAGCCGGTTGGTCTTATCGGCGAGTAGCTCGACATTTGAGCACGAGCGATGCCACTATTAGACGATGTTGGCAGGAATGGGTGAACCATGGCCGCACACAGCATCAAGAAGGAAGCGGTAGGCCTAGAGAAACGACAGAACGTGAAGAATGAGCAATCGTCAGAGCGGCACTCACAGCCCCAGATGCATCATTATCATCGATTGTACGTGCAAGTAGTGCTTCAGTGACCGCAAGGACCATTCATAGACGGCTCACAGAAAGAGGCTAAGGTCACGGCGCCCCTTGCGCCGACTACCATTGACGTCTGTATAACGTAAAGCCGTTTGCAGTGGTGTTGGGCTCATTCGCACTGGAATGTCACTAACTGGAGTAGAATAGCCTTCAGTGATGAGTCCCGTTTTGAACTTAGCCCCGATGACCAGCGAAGGCGAGTCTAGAGACGCCCCGGACAGCAGTGTGATACCAACCTGACTGTCTTCCGGCAGACAGGCCGACAACCAGGAGTGATGATCTGGGGTGCCATTTCATTTCATAATAGGACCGCTTTGGTTGTCATCCGTCGCAACCTTACTGCACAGCGGTACGTCGACAAAGTTCTAAAGCAAGTTGTGTTGCCCTTCATGCCACGCTACCCTGGGCTTACATTTCAGCAAGATATTGCTCGCCCCCCACGCTGCACGTGTTTCTACTGCTTGCCTTAGTGCTTGCCGAACATTACCTTGGCCAGCAAGGTCGCCGGATCACTCTCCTATTGAGCACGTTTGGAGCATTATGGGCAGGGCCTCCAAACAGCTTGGGATGTTGACGATCTAACGCGCCAGTTGGACAGAATTTGGCACGATATCCCTCAGGAGGACATCCGCAACAGCTGTACGAAAGAAAAAAAAAATCTCCAAGGCGCGAGACTCTGTATCGGAAATTTTAAATATATGCTCATTTTAAAATTAATTTGTGATTTTGCTGTTGAATTGAATTTTATAGTTTGAGTACTTAGAACATGATATTTTATAAATAAAGGTAGCACATAAAACGTTAAAAATACGCCCCTTTGAAAGTATTTAAAAGTCTAAAACCTTTCAGACCTTTTTTTGAAGTCGTAATAATTAGGTTCACCTAAAAATTGAAAGATGTATAAAAAGAAAAAAAATAATAATAACAGATGTCACGAAACATTGATTCTAATTGAAGTCTTCGCACTTTGCGCTGCAACATATCTTATAGCTGCATTCGCCAATAATTTCCGTCTAAATATTCATTTGCTACTACTATATATATATATATATATATATATATATATATATATATATATATAAATTTTGCATTGTTTTTACTTTCGTATTGTTTTAAATGAATATCCATCACATGAATTATCGTCTGCATTTGGAATGTATTACTTTTTCAGGAAAATGTTTTAACAGTTTCATATCTGAAATTAAACATGACAAAAGACTTGGCTATAAACTAACGACAAGTTCTGCTAGAAGTTTAATAATTCGTCATTTTAAAAATGATAAAAATATTCCAAAAACCAAAACCATTTCTTACTCTAAAGCGTTCAGCTAACATTGATGTTACAAAAGATGGTAATTGCATGGAACTGCGAAAAATGCACTGAGGTCTGGGCCACGTTCCATGCTAGCATGAAGAAATCGGTGTTTCAACCTAAAAAAATTCCAGAAGACTCCAAAATTAGTGTTGTAAAAGTTGCATCGAAGTTAGCAGAACAGTTTTTAATAAAAGTTAAAGTCCGAAACTGTTAGAAGAATCATTTGGATACGTGAATAGAATGTGCGATTAGCAAGAAAGAAATTCTTCGTCAACAAGAAAACATGGAAAATGGTGTTCGCAAAATTCACGATAAGTAAAGATTTCTCTTATTGGGAAAATGCTATGTTTCGTAGACGAGTCAAAATTTAATACATTTACATCCGATGGACGAATTACTATATGTTGCGAAAGTTGAATGAAGAACTGAATCTAAAATACTTTTATTACTGTTAAGTACAGAGATGGAGGCATAATGGCATTTGGAAGGATAGAGGTTTAGGAATGTATCACAGTCTATGGGATGGGAAATGTATTTCTTGTAGAAACTAATACGTATCAGTATAAATATTTATAATAAAAATCTAAAAGCATCTGCAAGAAAGCTTGGAATGCAAAATGCATTCAAGTTATATTAGAATAATGATACTAAACATATAGCCCTACATATTCACTTGTAGTTACTAGTATACAACTGGTTCTGAAGTTCTCAGACTCTTGTCCGAACTTAAATACTGTAGAGCATACTAACACGTTATTTCAGGATAACAGAATCAGAAAAGACTCACTAAAGTAATACAATTCATTAAAAAAAAATAGAATTATATCACTTTTAATGTTTACGACTAATACCACCTTTAATTGCGTACATTTTATTCCATTTTTCATAAAATTTCTATATTTCTATGCAATCGAGTATAATTTGCTTTAAAGTAATTAATGAGTACAGTGTCTCACAAAAAGGATGGGACACTTGTGCTTTACAAAAGGAAACTGTAATAAAATAAATTTGAAAAACATGTAAAAAATTTTCGTGGGTGTGTTTCATACTTAAATTTAGTAACAATTATTACGTAACATGCATTTTCTCAAAATATTAAAATATTAATTTAATAAAAATACAATTGTTTAGAACGGAGCAAAAAATAGCTCACATAAGTGATGGGACACCATTAGATACTACTACGTACTACAATAAAAATTTTCTTTGGGGTTTTTATTTTTACTCAAAAGCAATTGCCAATAATTTATAAAATCGTTTGCAGTATTTCTCTCCAGTTTGTTTTGGAATTTTTATGTTTTTTAGCTCTGTGCAGCCACGAATGCTAAACAAAAAGAAACTTTGCCTGAAATTCGAAAATTAGTTATTAATTTGCATATTAAACGTGGGAAATCTATTAGAGAAACTGCTGAAACAGTTAACTTGAGTCATTCAACAGTTTTCAATATCATTAAACGATATAAAAAGAATCATATGATGCAGGATAAAAGAAGACCTGGCCGACCATCAAAGCTATCCAATGGAATAAAGCGAATTATCGTTCGAAATATTTTAAAAAAAACTCCAAGAATGAGTGCTCCTAAAGTTGCTGCTGATTTACAAGCATTATATGGAGTAATTGTTAATCCTGAGACTATTAGAAGAGTAATTCGATCTGCTGGATATCACGGTAGAGCAGCCAGGAAAAAATTCTTCGTAAGTGAAAAGAATAGAAAACTCAGACTGGCTTTCGCAAAATCCAACATAAATAGGAATTCTGATTACTGGAATGAAGTTATATTTGCTGATGAGAGTAAATTTAATATATTTGGTTCTGACGGTAGAATCTTGGTGTGGAGAAAACCCAGGGAAGAATTTCGCAAAGAGAACTTGGTGCCAACAGTAAAACATGGGTGGAGGAGGAGTTATGGTATGGGGGTGTATGTCGTCCGCTGGAGTTGGTAATCTTGTTTTTATTGACAGTATAATGGATCAGTACAAGTATACTGACATTTTAAATCAAAATTTGAAATCTTCAGCACGAAAATTGAACCTTCATAACGATTTTAAATTCTACCAGGACAATGACCCCAGCACACACTGCTTTGAACGTTAGACTCTGGCTGCTGTATAACTGTCCTGAAATAATAAAAAACACCACCACAATCTCCAGACTTAAATCCCATAGAGAATATTTGGCAAGAATTGGAATCAAGAATTCGCAAACACACCATTTCTTCAAAACAACAATTAAAATCGGAGCTTCAAGAAGAATGGGGTAAAATCACTCCAGAATGCACACACACACACACACACAAAAAAAAAAAAAAAAAAAAAAAAAGTCGAATTCATCCCAAGAAGATTAAATCATGTTTTAAAAGTAAAAGGAAATACAACAACATATTAAAACCTTTTAAAAAGTAAAATTTTTGGATAAATATTTGATGGAAAAGCAAGTGTCCCATCACTTATGTGAGCCATTTTTTGCTCCGTTCTAAACAATTGTATTTTTATTAAATTAATATTTTAATATTTTGAGAAAATGTATGTTATGTAATATAATTGTTACTAAATTTAAGTAGGAAACACACCCACAAAAAATTCTTACGTGTTTTTTAAATTTATTTTAGTACAGTTTCCTTTCGTAAAGCACAAGTGTCCCGAGACACTGTATTTGGGTCCCATCCTTCAAATGTTCTTTTAGCAAAGTTCGATACGCAAGTTCAAACTTCGCTTTAGCTTAGCAATTACGTGTAACAAAACTTATTACCCAAGTATTCTGTTTCAGAAATTATCCCTGTAGTTCTGTATGCTGAATGGGACAGAGTAAATAAAAATTTATTGATTAGATTTGTAGTCATGAAAGGTACAAAACTGCAAATATGCAAACGATATGGAAAATATGATTTTATAGAAACTTTTTAATTCCACTTATAGTAGTTTTTAAGGATACAAACCCATACTTAGTTTCGTAGATGTACACAAATAATTAATTTCCTGGACTAGGCGCTTTCGAATTCTACGTGTCCTAAAAGGAATTAATTACCAAATTTCCTTTCCTGAATCAACTTGGCGATTTGGCACTTCTTTTGGCGCATTTATGTCGAATGTGTGACATTTTGGCAAGTAGCCAAGAAGTCTCAAGTCGCACCGCGCGGCCATGCCGGTGTGGCTGCCGTGGACTCAAAAGTTGGAAACGTAAACAATGGCGTCGCCGCTGGCAGCGTCGGCTCCGTTTTCCGGATCTTCTCGGGAAATAGCTTAACGCTCCGGCTGTTCTAAGTGAATGTCAGGGACGGGATGCGAGGGGCCATCGAACCCACTGACCTGTCCAGTGAGCGGATCGGGACGGATCAGGACTCCCGCAACGCAAACAGTTGACGCTGGTTGCCATGGATACGCCATCAGCTGCTCTCGGCTTTGGACAAATGCACATGGGCCGCTATCTGATGCTCTGCGTGTGTGGTACGCTGATAGCGATGACCACAGGTACGTTGAACACAATTCTTTGCACAGAATTTTATGATGCACTAACGCCAGCACAAACATTTTTCATACTTTCCTTCCATTTAAGGATCAGATACGGGTTTACCGCAATGTAAATTATTCTTAAATTTCGGACAAAATCTACTCGCACAATATCAAAAAGGGCATTCTACTATCTAAATCTTCTTTGAGGTAAAAATTCCATTAAAAAATCTTAATTTCTACTGCGTATGTAAAAAATTAATTGTGAAACGAAATGGCATCATAAGGGAAAAAAATAAGGAATTCTCTAATTAGTTTTCAAACTTCTGGTGAGGTACATTGTTACATCATTTGTTAAATATATCCGGTCCTGTTTAATGGTTTTTCCCGCTATATTACACTTTTTTTTTTTAAGAATATTTATAATCTCGTGTGCTCGTATAAGAAATTACGAAATTTTATCGAACTATCACGCAAAAATAATCCCTTAAAAACTGCGTAAATGAACTAAGTAAAAAAGAGGGCTTAATAGAATGCCAGAAATAATGAAGCATGAGATTAATTTATTATTATTATTATTGATGTAAGAATGAGTAAAAACAAAGTAGTTTGGTTCTGACATTTGGAGTGCCATTTGTTGTTTTTTTAGGTATCTAAATCCTTGAAGAAAATTATATAAATTTGTCTACATATTCTGCCTTTTTTTTTTTAAATCATATGTTAAAAATTTTTGGGTTTTTTTCTTCTTTAATTCCCTTTACTCAAGAAATATTTGTAGAATTTAAACAGTTTATTTTTAAACTAATATTAAAAAAAGAGGGAAATGAATACAATTTTAAAATATCGTTTCTTTCAAACCACAGTCTGTGATTTTTGTTTTTAAAAACTAAAAAACTTAAAACGCGCACTTTTCAGTGGTCCAGATTCCAGTAAGCGTTTCATTTTAGATTTGAAATTCCCGCGGATATCGATGGAAGTTTTATTAAATTCACTTTTTTGAATACAGGATTTTTATTCTTTCATGCGAAATTTGAAAGCTCTTTTGATTTGATTTTAAACTGTCTTAATTTGTTTCTTAATATGTAAAAGTGTGGGAGGGAAAGGCAGAATATAAAAATAATAATAAAACATGAAGACATTGTACAAGAAAGAATATATAAAATTTTTTAAAGTTATTTTTGATAAATATAATTTTTATCTTCACTTTTCTTTTTAAATTTCCTGATTTAGTCCATAAAAACTGTATCTGAAGAAACTTCTGAAACATTCAACTTGATTACAGCAGAAGTTCCAAAAATACCGATCACAAATTTATCTTTTGAAACATTAATTACTAGAACCGCGCTGATAGCTGAGAATCCTTGCAAATGGCATTATTTCTCTGTACAAAATTTTTAAAAATTATATAAATACATTGATCATTTCGAGAAATTTGTTTAAAAGGATAAAGTTTATTAGTCCCTTCTAAACAAGTTTAAAAAGATCAAAGTGAAAAAATAAATCTGATCTCTTTGAGAGAGAAATTTTTTATCATAAAATTAATAAATTTTAAAATTATAAGTTCCCTTTAAACAAATTTAAAAAGATCAAAATAAACAAATAAATCTGGTCTCTTTGAGAAAGAAATTTTATATCATAGACTTAATAAATTTTAAAAAATGAAATGCAAAATTTTAAGCAATACTTATTATGTGATATAACCAATGAGACAGATGTAAGAAATTCCGCTGCTGAATACTCTTGTAGTGTAAGTCAGCAGGATATCGAGCTAGCAAGCGGAAAATCTGTAGTTCGACACAGTTATATCTTGCGCATCTTGGCTACGAAAAACCTATGCACTCAAAAAATAAAATACTATAGATGAGAAATTGTCACCACCTGGATTTGGTCGAGTGCATTTCTTATCTCTGCCCAGTAAACCTTTTAAGATGTGGTATAGAGAAATATTGGATTTGTCTGGGACAATTCTCGTAGTGTAAGTGATTAGTACGTCCAGCTGGCCAAGTGAAAGATTCGTAGTTCCGAATCTCGGCGGGAGCACCGTTTGATCTTTAAGGCTTTCTAGTCCAAAATATCTAATAAACTCAATACGGAGTTTCATTTTTGCCATTATTTAGTTTTTACCATTGTTTTCTTGATGGCCTTGGGAAAAAAATGTGGTTAAGTTCGAAGCTTATGTAAAAGTGACAGCATTTTAAAAACTCCCTCATTAGAGAATTCATTGCTTACAGAATAATAAAATTTCAGCTTGCAGTGAATTATCACATGTTCTCTTAAGTTGGTTAAGTGGTTAGTACGTTCAACTACAACTCGAAAAGCTGAGGTTTGAATCCTAGCGAAGGCTTAGTTTTTTTTTTTTTTTTTTTTAAATTTTTTTTTATAATTTTTCTTAATGTGAAAATCATAATCGGCTATAAAAGTTTAACCTTCCGCTAATACTGAATAGATCCCAAGGGCTCAACATCGTTAGTTTGGTTTTCTTAGTTTACCACTTTATCTATCACGTCTTGGGAAAATGTAGAGCGCATTTCGTCTTAAAATGCAATTATTGATCGTTTCTATAAAGAAATGATATATTTGAAAATATCCGGTAATAAGATTTTACTTATGGTTCATAGTGTTCGATGATACAGTTATGCACAAAATTCTCTCTATACGGATTAAATCCTATGATGTAGTTTCAGTTTAAATATGGAGAACCTGAATGATGTTTCTAAAACTTGCATAAAATTGTTCAGCAGAAATTAATGAGACAAGGATAATTTCCTTTTCTAACTGATAAAAAAAATATGGAGACAGAAGTGTAAATGCTGAGAAGACTGCAAAGAAATTTTTATTTTATTTACTTACTTCTTTATTAAATGCTATGCATGGTGTTCAAAAACGTGATCTGGGCTTTATTTATTAATTTATTTTTAAATACCTCATAGACACATACTTTCAACTGTAAAATTTAAAATAAAGAGCAATGTTTTATGAAAAACAGGTGGAAAATGTTCATTAAGGAAAGAAAAACTTTCTTGTATATTTAACGAAAACCCTATTTAATGAAATATTTGGTACAATAAAATAATTATTATGCATTTATTAGTTAAAGCTGAAAGTTCCATCCTCTGGGTGTGAAATTCATACAAATGTTCAAGATAGATTGATATGCCTTGACCTTTCATTCATACTTCTAATGAGCCCACCAGGGTTTCAGTGGATAAGATCGCTAAACACTGGTAGCTTGATTCAAATTCAAATTCCCCCAAACGATTTAGTCGCATGAGTGCTTTTGTGATTTTTTATCCATATGTGAAAATGAACACGAGCCAGCTTCCTTCAGAAAGTCCTCCACGAAGATGTCTCTCCCTATTTTTATGGAAATATTTCAAGGCTATTTTATAAAAATACCGTATTTACTCGAAAATAAGAATGTTTGTTCTAAAAATGTTTTATTCCAAAATTTGGCAGGGTTTTATAATCCGAATATTTTAATAAATGAAATTGCAGAATGAGAGGAAGAAGTTTAATTATTATTTTATACAGAAGATTTGCAATGTTTAAATACTGAATAAATCACACAGATAATTACTGTATCTATAAACTGTATAACTACCACTAATTATATAATAATGCCACTAATATTGGATTCTGTTAGCTCAATTAATAATGCCTGTAAACGAATATCAGTTAAAAATTAAGGATTATTTGAAATTGCTCAACTGCTAATCTACTTGAGCGATTTCAATTTAGACTTGCGTCGACTATACAGATTAATGGTATGCCTTAAACAAATAAGTAACTATGTATTACTAACTTTAACTAACTAATGTTTCTTTTTATATGATAGCACAGAATGGTATTTAATTAAGCAGTTGGCTTTTCATTCTTATCAGAAACAAATGAATTCTAATCAGAATAATACTTTCATCAAATAAGCACCCATATTTTTATTTCTTAAAATTTATTTCAGAATGTAAGGAGGGTCTTATTTTAAAATAAATACGGTAATCTTAAAACGTTGATACTCTTTTAAAAACAATTAAAAGAATTCCAAATGTTTCTGAAAGACTGACAGGTTGTGACAAGAATCATTATAGGCCGGAAAAAACTTATAATCCCTCCTTAATCTCCTCATCCATTGCAATCGTTATATCAATTTCCTTTTTTAAAAGAACTTTGTAGCTAGTATATGCTTGGGATTAATTATGTGAATAAATATAAAGCTCGTAGTCACTTTTTCGAACGCCCTGTTTAGCGTCTTGGTCTGAAAGTGATAATACATTTATTCCTAAGCTAAAGAATATTTTCTGCTAAAACTATGCGTTCACTGCTAAAGAAAGATAATATCACAAAAAGACAGCAAAGAGTTGTTTTAAGATTTGTTATTTATTTTAAGGACTTTCCATGGTTGTAGGATAATTCTTTCTAAACGAGAATGTCTTGGGTGCTAAACTAAATTTATTCTAGCTTCAGCATTAAAAATTTTAGCGTTATTTCTAGCACCTTCAGCAAGATATGGGAAACGTTCCGTTCACGAATTCAGTGATAAATTCCAATGTGGAGATGCGAGGTTTTGAGGCCATAGCATCCGTGGAGAGGAATTGTGAAATGACGATTATGTGTTCAAAATGCAGCATTTGGTAGAATTCATAATTTAATGGAGAAACGTTTTCGCTACTTTTCTTTTATAGGAAAACGAAAGGCTTCCATTATTTTCTGTCTCAGTAATTACATTTTTCAGCCTGTCTGCAATGATATTTATTTGCGTTGCTTGCACGTAGGATTTTTTAAATACCAATTTATTCTTGTATTTAGTACAATTTGGTAGAGTTTGAGAATCTCGGTCCAGGAAAATTATTACAGCCTCTTCAGTTCGAGGCATTTTTTTCTAGAAAATTTACTTGCTTAGATTCTATGTCTTTTGGTTTAAGGCACTCCCGAAACTCAAGGTCACCGTAAATCTGCTACATGTTCTTGGATGTGACGGGCAGATTTTGCCTGATAAAGTCACTGGCGGGCTGGTCCTCGCCTAC